AAAAGTCCTATACGTTCACGTTATAAAAATGCTTTAATTATTTATTCGAGTCAATTTTTTGGGGGCCCCCCACAACGTGGGCCCCCCCCCCAGTGCGTGCCCTGCGGGCCCGTCCGCTATGCCACTGTGTAAGCATTTCCCATGGGTTACAGAATCTTTGATTGCCAGGACGGCCTTAATCTTTTGCCCCTTCACTCCTCTTTTCTTGTTAAAGATCTGTATTAGTTTTTCTGAAAAATGGTCCAGCTGCGCCAGTAACTTCGATCGCAGTGGCTTGGTGGTGATCCGCAAGAACTCTGCATTTATCTGAAATTTTTAAATACCGGTAATATACAATGTACTGTAAAAAAATTCTAATTGCAATTGGGCAGCCATGAAACACCATGAACAATAATTAACATTACTTACTTCACTCTCGAGAAACAGGGCGGGCCATCTGTTTTTGAATTCCCCTATCATAAGCCTTTGTTCCACAATCTCCCAGCGTCTGTAGGAGAATGTTTTTTCCATTTTTGCTTTAATCACCACTGCATTGTCACACTTTTTTAGTTCTGACAATAGAGCAATTCTCTCATTCTCCAAGCTTTCTGTGGATTCGCCTTTTGGGTGCAGAGGAATGTAGTTAACCTCCGCCTTCCTTGGTTTCTTAATATTAGCTGCAGCCTTTCCTTGGCCTTCTCGTTTGTGCTTCAAGGAGTTTACACGGATCTCAGGATGTCCAAGTCGCCCAAGCTTTGTTCGATAGTTTTGCATTTTATATTTAAGTGACTGTTTCCAACCCCCAAACCCTGTCTCAGATCCCAGCTGCCCCAAACAAGGGTGGGCCCTGGTCAAAGCTGCAGCTACCTCCTCACATTGATAGTCTTTCGGATATTTAGTGTATTTCATCATTTCTTGAGCTAGGCCATCAAGAATGACTCCTTTCAGCTTAGGGCCAGGGTTGAAGTATGTTCCGTTGGTCTCAAACTCTATATTCTTTTGGTGTAGCTCAAACTCAGCATCGTACGTGAACTTAGGTACCACAAAAATTTTTGGCCAGGAAGATAATCCTGAGAGCTGCGTTTCTGGGGATGAATGCGGGGTTGACGTGTACAGTGTATCATCACTGCAGGATGAGGCTAGTGATGAAGCTGGGATTTGAGGGTCTGGGCACATGGTATTTGAGGTCTCAGCAGATGAGTCTACTGTGTCCAAAATGATGTAGGGCTCCACAGGTGACAGGATAGGAGAGTATATTACTTTCAGCGTGCTTTTATTTTGAATTTCTGACA